GCCTCTCTCGGAGAGCTTCTTAATTCAAACTGTGTGTGTTTGTGGGATCCAACTGGAACCCTCAGTGGGCAAGGGCCGAACTGAAGAGGGGCATACATGTGATTGCACTTGGGAAGTTCCCTGTCCCTGCCCCTGAGCCCCTAGACTCTCCTTCTGTAACACCCAGTTCTTCCCACAGAAACAGCGGGAGCCACGGAAGGGCCGCCTCATCGTGTGTGGCCATGGGACGCTGGAGCGGGATGGAGTCTTCTGTCTCCTCAGTGATGATCATGGTGCCTCCTGGCACTACGGGAGTGGAGTCAGCGGTATCCCCTATGGCCAGCCCAAGCGGGAAAATGATTTCAATCCTGATGAATGCCAGGTCAGGAGTCCATGAGATGTTCCCTACCCATTTGACCATCCCTGCCCTCCAGAGCATCATTTCACACAGACCCAGGGTCTGACTGCTCAGCTCAGTGCCGCACACCCTTGCTCCCCTCAGGGACAGGGGCATTGGCCCTGTTCCCTCCCTGAGATCCTGTCCTCTCCCCTCAGCCCTATGAGCTCCCAGATGGCTCAGTCGTCATCAATGCCCGAAATCAGAACAACTACCACTGCCACTGCCGGGTCGTCCTCCGCAGCTATGATGCCTGTGATACACTGAGGCTCCGTGACGTGACCTTTGACCCTGAGCTCGTGGACCCTGTGGTAGCTGCAGGAGCTGTAGTCACCAGCTCCGGCATTGTCTTCTTCTCCAACCCAGCACATCCAGAGTTCCGTGAGTGCCTCATGGGTGGGGTCAGCTGGGAGAGCCCTATGTCTAGACAAGGCCTGGGCACACATGCTCCCTCCCTGACTCTCCTGCTCTCCCCAGGAGTGAACCTGACCCTGCGCTGGAGCTTCAGCAATGGTACCTCATGGCGAAAAGAGACAGTTCAGCTGTGGCCAGGGCCCAGCGGCTACTCATCCCTGGCAACCCTAGAGGGCAGTATGGATGGAGAAGAGCAGGCCCCCCAGCTCTACGTCCTGTATGAGAAAGGCCGGAGCCACTACACAGAGAGCATCTCCTTGGCCAAAATCAGTGTCTATGGGACGCTCTGAGCTGTGCTGCTGCCACAGGGATATTAGGCCCAGGACTCTGCCTTCAGGACCACGGGTCTGTAGAGGGTCTGCTGGAGATGCCTAAAAGACAGTTCCATCTTCCTTTAGACTTTGGCCTCAGCAAAATCACTTTCCCTTTACCAAGTAAATCACTTCTGTCAGGACTGAAAGCCAAGCTTCCTCTCCCACAAAAGAAGTCCTGACCTCACCTGAAAATACTTCCTTCCCATGTGGCCAAATGTGGCCCCACCACCCTCTCTGTTCTCCCGGGACATGGATTGGTCCTGTCTGGGGCAGGGCTAGTGAGCCGCAGAATTGAATCAATGTGAACTCAGGGAACTGGGAAAGGCCGAGCTTCCTCTTTGGTGTTGGGGTAAGATAACCGCTCCCCGAGTGGCAGGATGTTTGGTTTCAGGTTATGGACTAGGTGTACCACCCCCATTGACTATTTGCCAGTGAAAATGTTTGTAACTTAAAATTTTTAATGAAGGAGAATGAATATTTGTAAAGTCTTTATGGTTCTATCAATGCATATCTTCATGTCTGTTTTCCTCATGTATACTTGTGGCGCTGGGAATGAGTTCCAGCTCACTCTGTCATCCAGGCTGGTGTGCAGTTGCACATCACAGCTCACTGAAGCCTCAACCTCCTGGGCTCAAGTGATCCTCGGATTTCAGCCTCCATAGTATCTGGGACTACAGGTGCATGACACCATGCCTGGTTAATTTTTTTTTTTTTTTTTTTTTTTTTAGTAGAGACAAGGTTGTGCTATGTTGCCAGGCTGGAATGGAACTCCTGCGCTTAAGCAGTCCTCTTGCCTCCCTTCCCAAAGTGCTGAGGTTACAGCTGTGAGCTGCCATGCCTGGCCACATTCCCTCTTATCACAGAGAAACAGGCTGATCTTCCTAGGTGTAATGAGTTTGAAGGGAGCACCATAAGATTGTTTTTATTTTTGAGATAAGGTCTCACTCTGTCACCCGGCTGGAGTGCAGTGGCGCTATCACAGCTCACTGCAGCTTCAGTCTCCTGGTGATCCTCCCACCTCGGCCTACCAAGTAGGGTGTGCCACCATGCCCAGCTGATTTTTTAAATTTTTAGTACAAAGTTTCACTATATTGCATAGGCCAGTCTCAAACTCCTGAGCTCAAGCAATCCGCCTGCCATCTTCTCTCCAAGTGCTGGAGTTATAGGCTTGAGCCACCACACCCAGCCTATAAGGTATTTTAAAACCCACACGGTTTTATATTTCTTTTTTTTTTTTCTTTTTAAGATGGGGTTTCGCCATGATGGCCAGGCTAGTCTTGAACTCCTGACCTCAGATGATCCACCCACCTCGGCCCCCCAAAGTGCTAGGATTACAGGAGTGAGCCACCACGCCTGGCCACTGTTTTATATTTCTAACATAGGTTAGGATACTATTCTCCATGAAATAGGGTACAAGTGTGTGAAATGCAGATAAGAATCCTGTCCCCACTGGCCTGACAGGGAAGTGAGCACTTCCTATGGCAGATTATATAAGAAAATACTCCTCAGGCAGATGCTTATGAAGACTCTGGGCGCCTGTAGGTGAGTGAGAGAGCCCTTGTTTTCCTCCATGTGGAAGGAAAATCCAGTGCCTAGGTGAGATGTTAAGAAATTTAAAAAAGGCTGGGTGTGCTGGCTCATACCTATAATCCCAGCACTTTGAGAGGCCAAGGCGGGTGGATCACGAGGTCAGGAGTTCCAGACCAGCCTGGCCAACATAGTGAAACCCCATCTCTACTAAAAATATAAAAATTAGCCGGGCATGGTGGCAGGTGCCTGTAATCCCAGTTATTCTGGAGGCTGAGGCAGGAGAATTGCTTGAAACCGGGAGGCAGAGGTTGTAATGAGCTGAGATCGCACCACTGCACTGCAGCCTGCGTGACAGAGTAAGATTCCATCTCAAACGCCGGGCGCGGTGGCTCACGCCTGTAATCCCAGCACTTTGGGAGGCCGAGGCGGGTGGATCACGAGGTCAAGAGATCGAGACCATCCTGGTCAAAATGGTGAAACCCCGTCTCTACTAAAAATACAAAAAAATTTCAGCTGGGCGTGGTGGCGTGTGCCTGTAATCCCAGCTACTCAGGAGGCTGAGGCAGGAGAATTGCCTGAACCCAGGAGGCGGAGGTTGCGGTGAGCCAAGATCGCGCCATTGCACTCCAGCCTGGGTAACAAGAGCGAAACTCTGTCTCAAAAAAAAAAAAAAAAAAAAGATTCTGTCTCAAAAAAAAAAAAGTTAAAGACTGTGGGCTGAGGGCCACATTCATTTGCAGTTAGAGATGTGTTTTACTTTCAACTGCTTCTCTAAGAAATGTTTTGATAATTTATTCTATCTGATGGAAGTAGTAGAATAATACCAGCATATGTCAAGACATGCCATAATTTTGTTATATTTTATCCAGAATTTGTGATCAGTAATGTAATATTTAATTTTTTTAAATTTACAGACATTTGTAAAACCACACAAAAGTAGAGAAAATCATTTAATCAACCCCATGTACCCAACGTCCAATTCTGACAGTTATCAAGGTGTTGCCACATTTGCTTCTGTTCCTTTTTTCTTTTCCTTTCTTTTGCTGAAGTATTTTAAAGCAAATCCTGGGGCCAGGCACAGTGGCTCACACTTGTAATCCCAGCACTTTGGGAGGCCAGGGTGAGCGAATTGCAAGGTCAGGAGATCGAGACCATCCTGCTCATGGTGAGACCTGTCTCTACTAAAATACAAAAAAATAGCCAGGCGTGGTGGTGTACCTGTAGTCCCAGCTACTCAGGAGGCTGAGGCAGGGAATCACTTGAACCTGGGAGACAGAGGTTGCAGTGAGCTGAGATAATGCTACTGCACTCCAGCCTGGTGACAGAGCCAGACTCTGTCTCAGAAAAAAGAAAAGAAAATCCCAGACCTCATGACATTTTCCCCTACATTAAGTATGCATTTCATTCTTTTTTTTTTTAATTAATTTATCTTTTTTTTCTAAAAAAAAAAGAAAGAAAAATAAAAGAATAAAAAAAAAAGAATGAAGGAGAGGAAGAAAGAGAAACAGGAAGAGGGAGACAGAATGGGGGTGTTGCTTTATTGCCCGGGCTAGAAAGCAGTCCAAAAATGGGTATGCCTATAATTGTGCTTAATAATAGAGACATGAAAAAAAAATGAGGGAAGAAAACAACAAGCAGCCAACCAATATTTCATTTAAACCTGTAAATAGATGTGATGTGGTACTGATAAGAGTGTATATTTTGTGCATCCAAAGTGGAGAGTTCTATAAATGTTAATTAAGTTTACTTGTTCCGGATCTGAGTTCAAATCCTGGATATCAGGCCGGGCGCGGTAGCTCACGCCTGTAATCCCAGCACTTTGGGAGGCCGAGGCGAGTGGATCACGAGGTCAAGAGATCGAGACCATCCTGGTCAACACGGTGAAACCCCGTCTCTACTAAAAATACAAAAAATTAGCTGGGCATGGTGGCGTGTGCCTGTAATCCCAGCTACTCAGGAGGC